GTGGTAGCATGTGCCTGTAGTTCCAGCTACTTGGAAGGCTGAGGCGGAAGGATTGCCGGAACCCAGCAGGTCGAGGCTGCGGTGGTCGGCAGTGGCCACTGCACTCCAGTCTGGGCGACAGTGAGACTCCAACTCAAAAATAAATAAATAAATAAATAAATAAATGTCTTTGCTCCTATGTACCCATCAGGTCCAGTGCACGTGCCAACATTACTCTATCAGGGAAGAAGCGCAGAAAACTCCTCCAGCAGATCCGGCTTGCCCAGAAAGAGAAGGCAGCCATGGATGGTAAGGCTGGGACACAAAGGTGGGTAGGGAGAGCCTGGATCTACTTGGTTCTTTAATGCCTCCTCTTTCCCTTTGTTCAGTGGAAGCCCCCTCGAAGGCACCCAGGACTAGTGAACCACTGCCTAAACGGCAAAAGAAGACAAAAGCCCCCCAGGATGTAGAAATGAAGGACCTTGAGGATGGCAGCTAAAGCTCTTAACTCTTCTGCCAGAAGATTCTCAACTGGAGCCAGAAGGACTCTGTGGTTGTTTCAGGAGACTTTTGAGAAAGAATGACTGCTTTTCAGTCTCCCCAGATTATTCTTCCCTAATGGCCTACTGACTTCCCCTGGAGCTATGTGGTGGAAGGGAAGATTAGAGAGGGGCCTCTTTAGGAGTCAGGTCCATTTGTAATAAAGCCCTAGAGCTCTGACAGATGTGTGTGACTAAATGTAAGAATGGGACTGGGCCATGAAAAGAGATCAGTGCGTGTGGAAGCAAGACAGGAAGTAGAACCCACAACAAATACAAGAAGCCAGCCTCTGCCATGTGTGATTGTGTAAATTTGTAGTCTCAACTACTTGGGAGGCTGAGGCAGGAGGGTTGCTTGAGGCCAAGAGTTCAAACATGCTCTGTGATGGCCTCTGTCTCCCTAGTGAGTGATACTCTAACTTTCCATTTCTGACAAAAATATAGATTATTATAGGGATGGCAGCAGAGGGATTGTAATTGGACCCAGGTCCAGGTGCTTACTGCTAGAAAGCCAAACTTAAGAGTCAAACTCGGTCACTTCCGTCCAGGCCGGAACCCAAGATGGCTGCGCTCTTGCTGAGACATGTTGGCCGTCATTGCCTCCGAGCCCACTTTAGTCCTCAGCTCTGTATCAGAAATGCTGTTCCTTTGGGAACCACAGCCAAAGAAGAGATGGAGCAGTTTTGGAGTAAGAACACATGTTCAAACCATCCTGTATCCCCCCATAGCACTATCTACAGTTGGTCTCTTCCCATGGCGATGTCATTTTGCCACTGTGGCACCGGTATTGCCATGAGTGCAGGGGTTTCTCTTTTTGGCTTGTTGGCCCTGTTGCTCCCTGGGAACTTTGAATCTTATTTGGAACCCGTGAAGTCCCTGAGTCTGGAGCCAGCTCTGATCCACACAGCAAAGTTTGCCCTCGTCTTCCCTCTCATGTATCATACCTGGAATGGAATCCGACACTTGATGTGGGATCTAGGAAAAGGTCTGAAGATTCCCCAGCTATACCAGTCTGGAGTGGCTGTCTTGGTGCTTACTGTGTTATCCTCCGTGGGTCTGGCAGCCATGTGAAGAGCTGAAGTTCCGGCATCTTCTTCCTACACACGATTACATTGACCCATCTTCCTGTTTGCCACTTAGTTCCAGCCAGGGGAAAGTTTTCCTTATTTGTTTAGATCCTTTTGTGCTTGCAGGTCCCTTTGGAGCTCAGGAGTGACACCTTGTAGACCACAGTCGTAGAAAAGGGTCTCATTTTCCCCTTATTTCTAAAGATGGAGTAGCTGCGAAAACCCCCTTTTCCTGCCCACAACTTGCATTCAACTCTGGGCCCAGGAGTGCTTATTCTCTCAATGTTGGGCTTTGATTTATGCTGAGGGTCAGCTTTTGGCTCCTTCTTCCTGAGACAGTAGAAACAATGCCAGCTCTGTAGCCTCTGTCCTGGGGACCGGGGGTAAGGCTTTGGGTGCCACTGCCTGTGGGTTGCTGACTTAAAGGACAATTCATTTCATTGGTCAAAGCCCAGGCCTTTAACACCTACACAGTGTGACTGAAAGAAGAGATGTGGGTATGAGGGAAGTTAGCCTGTCTTAGCTTGAGAAAGATAAAGAGGGCTAGGTAGTTCTTGGAACAGGGGATTTGGGGAGAAAATATATAGCTTTTGATACAAAAGGAAGATCCAGAAAATTATCATTAGCATATTAATGGTTCTTTTCCTTGTATTTTTAGAAAAAGCTCTTAATTTCATGTTTTCTAATCCATGTTCTATACCATCTTTTTCTGAAACTGAATTAAAATACTAATAAAAAAAGCCAGGCTCGGTGGCTCAGCCTGTAATCCCGCGCCTTTGGGAGGCTGAG